TCCAACGGTTAATATGTACTGCATGCCGATGGCATTTTGAGTCGAATCTTAACTTATTTTATTAAGCCTAGTCGAACAACATTTCAGGTGAACGAAAATGCTTGAATGCTATACAGGGGCACGCTCACAGGAGAGATAGTTAATGCGTGAATGATGCAACTGAATCCCGGTCAAATTCCAGCGTGTAATATAGAAGCTTACTTTGCCTCCCGGAAACGCGATCATCCATTTCCGCAACGTGTGATTGCGTAATGCAGCCATGATTTACCCAGTAACTCTAGACGGCTTAACTCCCTGGACTCCAAAATCCTTATGCGTTATTGCCGTTTTATACACTGTCTTATTGGACCAAGTTTGATTAGTGCAAGGCAGGCAAGTACACTGCTTTGTGTGAGCAGACGAATACGCGTGATTCAGTAGTCATCGTTTATTTCGATGGTGCAGAGTCTGTTTATTGAGTGACTGACAAAAGGCGTTTATTTCCCTTCCATATATGTTACTGCCCGCAACTTGAGAAAAAGTAATAATCCTACGAAATTCTCATAGACATGCTGTTTCATGGTTTATTGCAAGCATGTTTGACTGTCGGGAGGATGGGCAGAATTAGCTCTATAATATTTTGCTCCTATTGCTAGGCGTTCCCTTACGTTTATCACGACTCATTTTCACGGCGAGAACGAACTAAATTTTATTCAGAGCTAGTCTAGCAGGGATGTAAATGTAAAATGCAGGGAATACAAATGTAAAATGATTGAGGTAATCATACCTTCTCCTGCCACTTTCTCTGGGTTTATACGGTGTAGCACACTGTCCCCTACTTCTAAGAGCCTATGGGACCGTTTAAGCAGTCCTTAATATTTTAGCACCTGCATGCGCGTAAAGTAGCTCCATGATGTTGGTGATATGTTGTTTTTTTCTTTCATACTGTAAAAAGTTTAGCACACATGATAAACTTTTACGACTTGATCTGTTAAATGAAGAACCGATGAAACTGTAATTTCTTTAGTCATGTAATTCTTTGAGTAATAATGTATATGTTTGTTTCAGTTGTTATTGACGATGCTCGCGTTTGTTATTCCAATGTTCTCATCAAGCTCATTTTGTTCTGGA